TTTGACGTTACTTCAACATCGATTTCATGTCTAATTGACAACCATTTCTTGTTGTGGCGTCATTCCCAAAAGAGACCTTATAGGAATATCAAATTTTTTTAAAATAATTCATCTATTTCTATTTTTTATAATTTGAAATTAAACTGACAAAAATAAATTAATTAATAGAAATAATTCTATTTTCGGAAAAAAAAAAGCGGATCTTAATATTAATATGCAAATTCTTGTAAACATATTTTTTTTTAGTTTTATAAATTGTGCACCGAGCTGGGCAGATATTATTCGAAATGGATTCCGATTGAAATTGTTTAATTATTTCCTAGATTTTTAGGAAAATCGAAATAATTTTAATCGGAATTCAATTCCGAATAATTTTATATTACGTATTTGGGCATCTATCATGGAACAAGCCAAAATAGATTCCGGATTAGTCGGAATTATTATTCCCTATATTTTTATTTTATTTTCTAGGGAAAATGAATAATTTTAATCGGAATTTATTCCGACATCATGATAGGTACCCAAAAATAAATTTCAAAATAGATTAATCAATTTTAACAATAATGCTAATAAGTATATTAAAAACTTGTAATAATTTTATTGCGAAAAATATTACTTCAGCCAGAGTTTAAATCTGAAATTCCTGATTCATCTGGGAATACCAATTCAATCACCGAGGCATGTAGAAATATTTGTAGCAATAACTAGTGAGAGAATGTCGTTTTTTAAGGAAATGTATATAAACAATTATAATTTGAAATTAGATTTTTTTTAGATTATAAAAGCGTCAATATTATAACAAAAATATGATATACAGTGGGAATAAAAAATAAACTCATTATCAAAATATCATCACTAAAAAGGTAACTATGAGAAATTAATTTGAATATCGCACTATTATCTGAGTGAGAATTTTTTTAATCAATAAAATTGTCTATAACTTAATATAAAGTCAATAATATTAAGAAATTTGCTTTCTTTTAAAATTAAATAAAGAGGTCATTTTTGTAGAAAATGTCATGTAGTATTTAAAATAAAATTTTTTAAAGTTAATAGTCACTATTGTTTGACTTCTATTTTTTACTTTGGACTATTGTAAAAGAGTGTTCAAATAAACAAGATGTTTAAATAATTCTAAATAATTTCTAAATAATTACGAAAAATTTTAGATGATTCTTTCAAAAATATGAAATTTCAATAAAAATTGAAGTAAATGTTGCTAGTTTCATTCTCTAATAACATATATTACAGGAGGATTAAAAAGGATATAGGAAGATTAAAAAATGTTAACATCCTTTTTATTAGTAAAAAATGTTAAAATTTTATTTTTCTAACTTGTCCAGAATTAAAAAAAATAGACACTTAATTTTTACATCTCCTTTTGAAGAAGTAAAGAACTCTTCAAGACAGGATATGGGAATAAGTATATGTTTACATAAAAAATTCTGTTTAATTTTTAACAAAAAATCATCTCTTAAAATTTTTTGCACTTTAGAAACTTTATTTAAAAACACCCTATATATATTTAAAAATATATTTTATATTTAATTATTGCTAGTAATTCTCTAAATTAAACATGGTAATTGTATTATATTAAGATATACCAAAGACAATCGAACTTCCTAAGATTTTTCGAATCGCCATTGTGATGCCAATGTAACTGTCTATAAGATCGGAAAATCTATCCAGGCTATCGCCAAAGATAAATTATCATTTTAAGATATTCGTAACAATGTTAAAAAATGGAAACTCATGATATATTGAGAAATCTTTTAAGATCAAGACGAAAGAGATACACGATATCCCAAGACCTATCGTATTTCAAGCTACCATTAACGCCAAAGTCTTTACAGAGATTATCAGGAATCAAAAGACATTAATTTTAACACTTCTCTGGCTTCTCCATCAAGCCAGATTAAAAAGTTGTGTACAGTGTGGATAGTAATGGAAAAGCGAAACTACAGTTTACAATATAAATCATATCAATTTCAAAAAGCAAATCTCTTTTTAATATTTGTTTTCAAAATAAAAGAGATGAGTAACGCAGCTTTTTAATTCGGCTTTGTAGAGACAGTGGCAAACTGTTAAAACTGTCTCTTAATTTTTGTTAATTTACGACTTCTACAAAGATCTTATGATTAATAGAATTTAATAGTCAGATCTTCATTGACTGCCGCGCATCTCTTACGTCCTTATTTTAGTTAGAATTTCTCACTATCATAAGCGCTTTCATATTTTTAACAATCTTGCGTACATTTTTAAGTGATAATTTGCGGTCTATGGCGATAACAAGATTTTTCAGCTTTAGAGACTATAATGATGATTTGAAATGCCTCAGGAAATTTGATTGTCTTTGTCATTTCTTGACAGTATAATAGATGCTAGGTTAGATTAAGAATTGCTAGCTTACAATTAATGTTTAGGTAACATATATTTTTAATTATATACTTTTAAATATATTTTTAATTATATTTTTTTATTTTTATAATAATCCAAATTGGAAAATAAAAGTGGAACAGTCATGTCTGTTTAAACTTTAAAATATTGATTGTTAACCACTAACGCTTTTTATAGAATCACTTTATTTAATTTATAATAGTAACAAAGCAATTTTGTTTCCATT